CCCCCCCCCCCCATTTATTGCTGGGCTTCGGGTGAGCGCTGGATTGGCTCGCGCCCTGTGCGCCCGAGGGGCTCGTTTGTTCGCGGCTGGCTGTTTTCTTATGTGCCTTGAAGCCGCCTGGGCGGTTCTGTCGCTGCACCTCAGCCCATTGTTGGCGCCATTCTCCATTTCTAAGGGATTTAGATAGAGCGTTATCAAAACGTTGGGTCCTGCCCGATTGAGCGTGAATAAGGACAATGGATCCCTGCCCTGCTCAGCTGCTATTCATTGAGTAGTGGGAGGATAATGGAATTATCGCTCCTAACTACAGGGGATGCTTGCTCAGTTTCGTTGTCCCCACCCTGAGTTTTGCCCTTTGCTTTGATCTACTCTGCTTTGACATCGCATTGCACAGCATTGCATTTGACGCCCCTTTGTCTTAACAGGTAGTTCATATGGATACTATATGCACGTTTACTGAAACAAGCTGCTATGATGAAGAAGGCTTTATGTTATGGGAATCGATCTGGCCAATTAACATGAGTTATTGTGTAAACAACTGGAGCAAAGTGCTCCTAAAAATTCCAGAATGTGGACAAGCTTGTGGAAACTTCAATCAATTTAGCCTGGAAAAAAAAATAGCAGCTGTTCCCAAAGTACTTTATTGTTCCTTTCCTCACATTAATTGTGAGCAGCAAATCACTACTATTTTTCTTTAGAGAGTATTTGGAAATCACCTGAGAGATGCAGTGCTGTGTTGTTGGTTTGATGCTGCATTGTGACAGAACTTTGCTTTTAAGGACAGAAATCTGAGAGGCGACTGAATTATTGGGCAGTTGTGCTCAGCATGAAGATAAATGTATTTAGAAAAGCTCAGCCTATTGAACTCTTGCTAATTGCTGAAGCGGTGGCATCCAGTGCTTAGGAAGAATAAAAGCAGTCTACGGCAAATCTCACTGTTAATTTTGTTTGGTTCCAGACAGTGGCCTCAGCAGGTGACACTTGGAAATTCCTAGGTTGTAGGGTAGACCAAAGGGGGGGAAAAAATCTGACAAAATACTTTCATACTTTTGTCAAAGAATTCTGTGAACAAGTCAAACTCCTCAAGAGAATAGTCACTTTTTAAACAAATCTTAAGTTTGACTTCACACAGTGTATCTTAGGAATTATAGTTTGATGAGCAATCAATCAGAATAGAGCTGGAAGGGACCTTGGAGGTCATCTAGTCCAATCCCCTCCCCCCCAAAGTAGGAGACCCAGATTGTTAACTTGCTAACAGAGGTCTTTTATCCACACTCCCCAGAGAGTGATAATTATAAGATGTTACCTGATATTAAATATAGAGAACACAGAGATGATCTTGGAGAAACTACTTGGCATCCATTTAAAAAACATTACTTCAGTGTAGGACAATTAGAAACAAACTCAAACTAGTTCTGCCTTAACTGTCTTGAGTTAAAAAGGAGGAGGATAGAGAAAACACAGTCAGGCTTTCAGGATTCTGTTACTATAGCTAATATCAATAAAATAGAGTTCCAGTCATTCTTGTGCAGTCTGTTTTTTGACTTGGTCTCCCTTGAAGGGCTGACAAAAACATGCTTAACATCTGAGCATTTTGCAATATTGAGGGCTCAGATGCACAGTGATACTCAATATGGCCATTTGGGAAGGGGTGCCTTCAAGTCAATTTTGACTCCTGGTGACTAGTTTTCTTGGCAAGATTTTTGGGGAATGCTCTTGTCTACTTCCTAGAGCCAAGAGAAAGTGACTGGCCCAAAGTCACCCAGCTGGCTTTGTGCTTAAAGGTGGGATTTGAACTCTACTCTCTGTTTCTATAGTCTGGTGCCTTAACCATTACACCAAACTAGCTTTCAATATGACCAACAGCAAATACTTAGATATTGAATCTCAAGGATTTATCTCAGTCTAATGCTAATGCAGTAAATTAGTTCAGACTTAAGGTTGGTGTCTTATTGCAGATAGTCAACTTGGAATGTGCAAGGGAGGGGCAGTATGTACTGATATTGATGTCTATAAATTCAATTGAGAAGAGTAGTTATGGTTAATACTCCTGGAGGCTTTTTCTCACTGTTGAGTGCTATTTCTACTATCCTTGAATCTGCAGCAAACTATACTGACATGACCCTGGCTGTTGTTCATTTCTAACCTACCTATTGCCTCTCTTCTCAGTCATTGTCCAGTCACTTGACTTCCCTACAGGACAATGAGTGCAAAAGCCTAACAATTTTATTCACCCTGGATGACATTGAAATAAAGGAGATAATGCTTCTTTGAAGGATGTCAAGTTGCCCCTCTTATGGTCTAGGCTAGGGACAGGAATGGTAAAATAGGTAGGTAGGTAGGTAGGTAGGTAGGTAGATAGATAGATAGATAGATAGATAGATAGATAGATAGATAGATAGATAGATAGATAGATAGATGATAGATATGAGAGGTCCTTGGTGCTCTCTGAGCTTGCTTGTTTTCTTGCAGACATTTCATTACTCTAACTAGAGAACATCATCAGTGCTAGTAAGGAGTGCTGTTTGCTGTCAGTTTATATTCTGGTGTCTTGCTCTGTCAGTGTGGGTGGGGGTGGTCTTAGGGATTCTTTGGTTGGGCTGTTTACTAATGGCTCTTTGGCAGTTTCTTGATTGGGGTATTGCTTTACTTGATTGTTGGTCTGAAGGTGACCTTGGAATTAATCTATGCTGATCTGAGTGCTGATTACTGGTGGGGAGGTGCTAGATTCTTTATCTAAAGACTTTAGATCTATGTATCTGTTGTTGTCCTTTATTTGGCAAAATCTTGTTTGTTTGCCAATCATTGGGCAGAAGGAAGGATAAAATTGATAGGTTATTGCTGAGAAATACAGGCAGTCCTCGATTTGCAACCATTCATTTAGCAACCATTCAAAGTTACAACAGTAGTGCAAGAAATGACTTATGATTGGTCTTCACTCTTATTACTATCACAGCATCCCCATAGTCACACAGTCAGAATTTGGGTACATGGCATGTCCTTTAAACAGTTGCAGCGTTCCGGGGTCAAGTGATTGCCAGTTGCAACCTTTCCGGAGGGCTTCCAAAAAGCAAAGTCAATGGGGGAATCCGGGTTCCCATAACAAATGCAATGATTCACTTAACCACGGCAAAAAATGTCATAAAATCAGGCACAACTTACTTAACAACTGCTTTGCTTAGCAGTGGAAATTCGGTTCCCAACTGTTGTCATAAGTCAAGGACTATCTATAGGAAGGTCAATGAGAGAGATTTAGGAAGACTGACGCAAATGGAAAATATCCCATTTAGTTAGGAATGCTGACTTGTTCGTAGAAGGTAAGATAACTTTGTTATTGGGAAAATATGTATGGGGTGATAGACTATTTCATGATTTATGTTTTGGATCAGATATTCTAATTTAGCCCCACAACTATCAGCCTCATACATTCTAAGGCAGGATAGAGGGATAAAACATACAGCAAGTTTGAATTACAACACTAGTGAATGGCATTCTTTCCTACTTTTGCTCATCAGTGTTTTTTTTTTATCATACTTAAGAACATAATATTTAAAATTAGGTAAACAAAATAATATCAATTATGAACCAAATGACAGCATATGTACATTTACTTTTGAGCTATTCATGAGGTATTCCCAAATAACATTTTCAATTTTTGCAAGAACATCAAATACTTTCACACAACTAGATCAATGTATTATCTCATTTTTTTTTGCATAAAATGGATAGCTAAATGTTAATATGAGTTTCTTTTCTTTCCACAATCATAGTACTTATATATATATAGATGAAAATGAGATATAGTATCATGAAAGCCTTGAACACATCTTTAAATAGTATAAAGAATCCAGACCTGAAATTGAGTTAACTGAGGAAGAAACAATATTCTTTTAATATATTCTCAAACTCTCAGAAATAATGAGATCTAGAACAGACTTTCTCAACATGTGCCCGTCAGATGTGTTGGACCACATCTCTCATTGTCTGCAGCCAA